GTTCAATATCCCCACTCAACCATGGAAACTCATTGAGATGTGTGTGACAGTAATTAAAAAAAACATTCCTTAAGTCTTTCACATACCTTGAAAACTATTAGGGTTGTTATAACTCGGATGCAATTGGATAGCATATGCTATGTTTCCATTTTTATTACGATAGTTCCATTGCAGCTGTCCTTCACTGTTGTGAACTACTTTCTATGGTTAAGGTATCAGGGTGTTCAGTATTGAGTTCTGCTAATGTACTGTAGGATTTGAATGTAAAGTGGGCCCACAAACATTTCAGGTGTATTTTATTAAAGGTGTGTATGTGTTTGTGTATCTATACAAAAAGGTACATTAAGGAGGATTATGCTAGGAAATATTATTTGTCTAAAGCATTTGTAGTGTTCACAAGAGAGGAAGGAAAACCTGAGAACTAAACAGAAAAGTCTGTCTTGTAAACTGCCATTGTATATAATAATTATATAGCATAATCCTTCACTTCCAGAAGCCTTGCACTGGAACAGCACTAAACATGCCCAATTCATGGATGTCAACTCCCTGGACGATGGCTAAAGTCAAGAAAAAGTTTCTCAAGATCTGATTGCTTCTGGTCAAAAACAGTTTGATTGAAGTGTGGCTATGAGTCTGAATTGCGCAACACTCTGATATAAATAAAGATCCTATATGCTGTTTATAAATTCATTCTTCAAATTTGAATCCTTGCATGGCACCACCTGTGCGCAAGAGGGAAGTATCATGAGGTTCAAAGCAATGGCAAGATATGCAGAAATACAAAAACAGTAGATTCATTGTGATGCTACAGGACTGCAACGGGTCCAGAATGCAGAGGCCAGACTTCTGGGTGGGGTAAGAAAATGCTAACATATCTCTCCCACCCTGGCCGCCTTACACTGGCTACCTGTTCGCTTCCATACCAATTTCAAGGTGATGGTACTAACCTATAAGGCACTAAATGGTTTGGGAGCTCGATATCTGGCCGAGCGCCTCCTTCCAGTTAGATCTGCCTGTCCTATAAGATTGTTGCAGACAGGGCGTCTGAGAGTTCTGACCACAAGAGAGGCCCAGGAAACAACCACTAGAAATTGGGCCTTCTTGGTGGTAGCGCCACAATTATGGAAAACTTTTCCGCCTGAAGTCCGCCTGACTCTTTCACTGGGCACATTCAAAAAGTTACTAAAAATCTGGCTATTTAGACAGGCTTTCCCTGAACAAACTATATTCTTCTACTCTTCTAATTGTATTTAGGTTCATTTTATAATTTTTGATTTGTTATTTTGTTGCTCTGTTGTTTTTTGTTATTTGTTGTAAACCGCCCAGAGTGGCCATGTGTGTAATTCAGATGGGCGGTGTGTGTGTATGTATGTATGAATAAATAAATAAATGCTCTGTGGACAAAATTAAACGGGAAAAGAGGCAAAAATACAGTAGCACTTTAAAGATTTTTTTCAGGTTTATTTCAGTGTGAGCTTTTGTGGAAATACTGTAATCCAGAAATCTATGCATCTTTAAAGTGTATAATATTTTGCCTTTTCCTCTCCTCCCCCCCCCCTTATTTGTCCAACATTCTAAGATTAACATGGTTACTTATTTGGAAACTGTGTGTCACAGAGTTCTCCGAACTTCTAAGACAGCTAATGCCTCCAGGATGGAATGCTGTTCTGCAAAAACATAGGGAGATATGGAAACTGGTGGTTTATGTATGCAGAATGATTACCATGACTAATACTGATATGCTCAAAAACAGAAATCCTAGCATTGATATATGGAAGCAAAATCCATGTCTTATTGGAAGTCAGTTTTGGCAAGACAGATTACAAGCCCTTTTTTCTTCTGCACTGAAGTCCTGACAAAAACACCTGGATTACAAAGCCTGTCTTTTTTCAGCTTTCACTGTGTGAACTTCACGTTGCCTACAGAGCTGGGAAAGAACTGTTTATAGAAAATGCCTTCTCAATGGTTTTTGATACAATGGAGGCATTACTGCCAGATACAGACATAAAACATGTTAGATCAGCTTTAGAACTTACCTTGTTTCAGAAGAATTGTCCGTAATTGCCTAGGACATGAGTCAGGGTGATATTCCATAGAAGGTGTTTATAGCATTGGGGAGGGAATGGCCACATCACCATATGCAAAACCCTCACTACTGTTAGTTTAAGCAAGAACATCTGTGGCCATCTGGTCCTGTTCAGGGATTCTACAAAGAGGTTAAAGGAAACTTGCATGGGAAGAAGATGGGTAGCTATGTCCCCGTTATCCAAGATCTTCCTATGTATTAAGTTAAGTCTAAAGCGTATACCTGTCTTTATTGATGGAACAATCTCTATGTGATCAGATATGCTATTTTTTTAAAGGGAGCTCTGCTTTTCAAACTTAGCTCCACAAATATGGAGAGCTAGGACGGAGGGGCCTCAGGTTCCCCTTCTGTTGCATGTTTAAATGGTTTGTAGAATGCCTAAATAAGGCTATGGTGTTCTGTTTAAAATAATAGTGCTGATTTTATCCCAGACTTCTGTGTGGGAACATGTTTGAAATAATATATGAGGGACAATTAGGGACAGAGAAATGCAAACAGAGGGGAAGGTTACGGATTTGCTGGCGACATATGAAAGCTAACTCAGTGTGTAAGACTTCTCAGGTCAGCTCAGGTGAAGGAACCAATGATGATACTGGAGAGGATCTCATGTCCATGTCAACAAGCGAACATTGACCTGTTTGAGCAAGAGGGGGAAAAATCAGTTCTAGTGCAGTGTGATGCTGTATTTTGCTGTGATTTCAGCATATCTTATAACATAATTTATTTACAGTTAATATCAAGGATCTTGTCCAAGCTTCCTTACAAATACAACTCCTGCTTTCTTCTGCTTACTTCTTAATCTGGAAGGGAGGGTCATAAGGAGATTGGCCACAACTGCTAATAGTTGGTACCTCTACAATCTCAGCAAAGATGTGCAGTGAAAATATGAGACTTAAGAGGTAGCTAATATGCCTCCATAAGTCTCCCCTCCTAGCAGTATTAAGCCAGAGTGGCCAGAGATTACCACGTTTCCCCTAACATAGGGTCTTACATTAATTTTTGCTCAAAAACACATTAGGGCTTATTTTCAGGGGATGTTTTATTTTTCATATACAACAATCTACATTTATTCAAATACAGTCATGTCCTCTTCATCTGGTGGCTGCACAATGGTGGAGGGTGGGTTTTCACTTAACTGGGGCTTATTTTTGGGGTAGGGCTTATATTAAAAACATTCTGAAAAATCATATTAGGGCTTATTTTCAGGTTAGGTCATATTTTCAGGGAAACAGGGTCATTTTGACCACTTATTTTTGTGTGAAACTCGTAATTCAGATAATTTTGAGGAGCTTGAAATGCTAGACTGGAACACCCCCCCACCCCTTTGTTGCTATTTTTATCAGAAGAATGGAATCTCCTAAGATAACATCATTTGGCAAAGCTTCACAGACTTGAACGTGGGGAATGCAAGGATTGTGGCAACAAATATTCTAGTTCTCAAATTAATAGAACTTGTTTCTGTATTCTTCTCTGACAGGCCTCTAATTTGGATGGGATAAGTATGTCTATGACCCATTGAGGTGGTGGAGCTTTTCCTGCCAATGGACAGAGCAGTCGATGATCTGCATCTTCTTCTTGTTGTTATCAGTAAAGCTAATGTTGACCTTAGCTGTGAAGAGAGTATTTGGTTTCTGTTCCATGGCCAGAGCAATTTTGTGACTGTGGAGTGGGGTAGCTCTTTTTCTCTCTCTGATTAATCCTGACAAAAATGGCCTATCTGCAGTTGCTAACTAGCTATTTATTTGTTTGTCTTGTATGCCGCCCGCACGGGGAGCCAAGAGTCCCAAAGTTTTCAAGTTTTTCTTGAAATATAAGCAACACCTTCAGCAGGGAGTTGAGTTGCCATGATGCAACTTCCAAATAACCACACCTGTATAACAGAGAATCTTCACAGATATCTTCAGGAAGGAGATTTTTGTCTGGAAGGTGACAGGAAGAAAAGAAATACTCTCTTTTCAATCTAGCACTACCTCATGGCTGCTGAGCTGTTATATTCCGTAACATAAAAGCTGCATTTTAATATTTCTTCTAAAAAGATGTTAAAATCTCTCCAGAAAATGATTTATTTTTTACTTGGCACTCTTTTCTGTGCCTTCTTTCTTTAGGAAATGTTGTCTTTTAATGATGAAAGCTGCCTTGGGTCCTTTTTTTTCCCCAAAAGAAGGGTGGGGTAAAAATATTTTACAGTAATATTTCAGCCACGATACCTACATCAAATCTCTGCAACTGTTTTTGCCCCTTTGGAAATAACGACGACTAGCTTTTCAACAAATAACAACTATAATTTTCTCTGTCTGTCTAGTTATAATTAGAGGTTTACGTAATACGACCACTTAATTATTGTAATTCTAGGCTTCACCCCGTTCAGATCGCCCTAAAGCTGTACTCGACTCTCCCGACTACAAAATCAAACAACTCGCATTCTAAAACAAGCAATTAAGTTTTTTTTAAAAAAAGTATTTGATTTAATATTTGCTTGACCCAGTCACTCAAGCTTTAAAAAAAGTTACAACCTAGAAGTCCATGAAGCCCAGCAAGGGCAGGCAAACGTGTTGAAGCCCCTTTTATTACATACATTTATTATATACACCCATTTATTACATACACCGGTGACACCGCCATTGTGAAGTGAGCGTCGCTATGAGTGTTCCTACAGAGGGAGTCCTGGGCGCTGCCTGAAGGACCCCGAGGATGTTCGCCAGATAGCTTCCCTCAATCCCTCCTTTCTGTATATCTATAAACATTTCATTTTGCTCCCTCTTTTCTCCTGCCAGTATATCAGGGTCCCCTGCCTCCGTTGTTATTCCCCTCTTGCCTACTTCACCTCAGGCGACGCCAAGGCCGCCACGTTCTCTGAAGGAAGAGGGGCGGATTTCCCCAATAGGCCCCCGCCTCGTTTCCGCCCCGCCTCCCAGTCTATAAGAAGCTGCGGCCGCTTCTCCGACCGCCAGTCCTCTGTGCGAGTTTTGTTAGAGCCGAGGAAGGAGGAGGCAGGGGCTGGGCGCCGTTGCTGCCTCACGGTGAGTGTGGCCGAGGCCTGGTCTGGGTTCAGGCCTCCTCCTACCTTAGTTGTGAAGAGGCAGAGAGAGAAAGAGCAGAAAGTTGGCGAGAAGGCGGCTTATGAGGCAAAGGGACGAGGGCAGAGAGTTTATTTGCAGAGGGTTGCTACGGGGAGGGGCCTCTTCCTCGTCAAGGCGTGCAGAGGGACCCACCTGAAGTCTCGCCTCCGCCATCTCTTTTAGCTGAGGGGGAGGAGGATGGAGAGAGCGAGAGAACGACGAGTCCATCCCCGCAAAATTCCTTCCCTCCCTGCTCTTTAGGCGCTTCTTCTGGGGATTCTCTCCCCTCAGCCCTTCTCTCCTTTTTGTCTAAAAGAAACAGCATTTTTTGCGAAGAAATGCGAAGGCTACGATAGCATTAGGTATTATAATGGCTTAAGAAGAGAGAGAGCGGTTTCGTGTCTTGAACCGCGAGGTGTGCTGCACTAACGCGAAAGAGGGAGTTGCCTTTGGGGAGCTTTTTAGTTTGCTTCTGGAGGGTGCGGATGATGAAGCCGATTCCTTTCGCTGGGAAGATCCGGGGCTGGAGACCCAGAAGAGGAGGACTGTCTGCTGCTGCTGTTGTTGACAGCGTGCTTCACCCGGGCCGCCTTGTTTTACGAGGAACAGTTGTTGTTAACGCTTAGTCATTCTCGCTGTTTAAAGCTGAAGCTGTTCTCTTTTGCTTTACTTTGTTGGTTTGTTTAAAGCTTTAAATGTACAATTTAAAGTGCCAAGTAACTGGTCGGATCCAGATTCAGTCCTATTTTGTGTTGAAATCAGTGGCACTTAAATTCATAATGACAAGCATGTTCTGTCGGTTGCAGAGTATCCCACTATAGATCTGCTTCCAGTCCTGTTGAGACTCATGACAGAGCTGTTCACTGGCATTGGCCCAGCACTGCACAGTGACATGCTTCCAGGTGCTTAAATCAACCCAGTTTAAAGGCTGTTTGAATCTAGTATTAAATGGAAAAGTAAAATACAGCTCTGTAAAAAGAGGCCTGAGAAAGTCCATAGGGAACATTTGATGCTGTGGTCTAAGCTCAAGGCACCGCACCTGAGTCACAGAATGGAAGGAAGTAGTTGTGTCCCAAAATTCTTTGCCTAAAGTTGTGCATAGAAGTTTTACCTTAACTCCTACTTTAAATGAGAACATCAGTTATTCTGAGAAGATCTGAAGATCATGCTGTAGTCAGAATCCTGTGGTTAGCACAGTAAATTGCAGAGTAGGCCTGTTGAATCAGTGGCAGGTTTGGTGAGTGAGGTCCCCTATAAGATCCATGGATTCAAAGGGGTCTACTCTGTGACTTTAGCGTAGTAAATTTTAGTTAGAGTAATCCTATCAGAATCAACAAGACTAAGAAAATACAGTGAACGCACAGTTATAGTGCTGGTGGGAACACACCACCAATCTGTGGGCTAGTCTTTGTCAAGGAGAGTTATATAGCATATCAGCTGAAGTGTGTATTAGAATATAACAGTGATGGTGAACCTTTCTGAGCCCAAGTGCCCAAACTGCAACACAAAACTGACTTATTTATTTCAAAGTGCCAACACTGCAATTAAACCTGAATACTTAGTTTTCAGTTTAGAAAAAACTGCCTCAGCAGTGCAACGTTTAAATGCTTGGGTTTTTTCCCCCTTAGGGGTGGTATTAACAGAAAAATACTTGCCAGTCCTCCAATCCCCCATTGGGTTTGACCAGTAATGGTCAACTGCGCCCCTCTGCTGGACCACTGCACCAGCAGAGGGGAGTGCCAAAATCCGGGATCGGAGGGTGGGTAAATATTTCTCACTGGTGACTTATGGCTCGTGTGCTCACAGAGAGGACTCTGCATGCCAGCTGTGGCACACATGCCATAGGTTCGCCATCACTGGAATAGAACTGTCAGTCAACTTTTTCAGAGTGATTCAAAAACTGGACTGACTTGATATATCAGTATATGTATTTGTATGAGAACTTTTACAAATACTGTATAAAACAATGAACCCAGTAGTTCACTTTTGCTGTTGATAAGATATGGAACATTTCAAGTCTATGCTGATATGTTTTACATATAGAGCTTATTTCTAGTTATTTGCATGCAACATGTCTTAGAATGTTTGTTTGATGCACTGATATTAGTTTGAAGTTCTTTTGCTTTAGAAGCAGTTTTGCAGTCAATAAGATGAAAACCATGTTGAAATTCTCATGTTGCATCTTTTAATTTGCATAACCATTTTCTAATGAAGTTATCCTTCACTGGTGTCAAAAACAAATACTGTATACATTAAGAAGTTATTTGAAGGAGCAGTATCATAAGTTGGAAGCTTGTCTGTTACATGGGTAAGATGACTGGAGAGTGAACTCTGGCCACAAATCATGTCTGCAAAATACCCAAGTAGTTCTCAAATTACAAGCATAAACAAGTCAGGTCCAGGGAAGCAGTTTCACATCGTTCTCATTATTTATTTATTTTATTTTATTTTATTTAACTTAATATGCCGCCCACACTACTCAAAGGCCTCTGGGCAGCATGCAACAATTTAAATACAATAAAAAGATAAAACAATTAAAATCCAATTAAAGGTACAGTACTCTAAAAACTGCCATCAGGACCCACAGTTGATGATATTTGAATTAGGTCAAAACCTTCCTGTTCTGGAAGATTTTTCAATTAAAAATCCTCCGGAACAGGAAGGTTTTGACTTGACACCGAAAGGTAATCAACGTCAGTGCCAGACGAATTTCACTCAAGATGGCGTTCCATAGTCTGGGGGCAACTGCCGAAAAGGTCCTTTGTCTACAAGCCATCTCTCTTAACTCCTTGAGGGATGGCTCTTTCAGGAGGACCCGCTGGCTAGATCCTAATTGCTGAGTAGATTTATATGGAAGGAAATGGTCCTTCAGGTACCCAGGGCCCAAGCTGTTTAGGGCTTTAATTCACACTAATGGGTTTAATCTGCGCCTGCACAGAGGTCTGTGAAATATACCAGAGCAGATCTTAAAATTCTGTGGTACTTACTCAATATACCTATTGTACTGTTGCTCATGGAAAATAGTGTTTGTGAGCTAATATAAAGGGACACAGGCACAGAATAAACTGTAATCTGTTCTATTTTTTTCTTAAATTGTTAGTTTACAGTGGTCTCACCTTGTTCGTTAATGTGAATATATCGATCTCTGTTGCATTTGAAATAATAACATGTTTCTTTAACACAAGGTGTATTGTGATACAAAGAAGTCATATAACCAAAATTACTGCCGTTCCCCCCCATAGATGCCTTCAATTAAATTGCAGAGTTCTGATGGTGAAATATTTGAGGTTGATGTTGAAATTGCAAAGCAGTCTGTAACAATCAAGACTATGTTGGAAGGTAAGAGTATTACAATGCAGTTGGATTCAGTAACTTGTAATGACTGTGTCTGAAGTGCTGTTCAAGTGGAATAGATTAATTCCTGGGCTGATATGAAACAGCTATGCAAAGCATATATGAAATCTAAGGATATATACAGTGGTGCCTCGACTTGAGAACGTCCCTACATAAGAACGATTCGAGTTAAGAACAGCCCCGTTCACAGAAAGTTGCTTCGACTTGAGAACGGAGCCTCGACTTAAGAACCAGAAAAGAAAAATATACCTGTCCTGCCCTTTTTTGACTTAAGTTCACCTTAGGTCAAAAGAAGAAAAAAAATTGCCCCCTATTGGTAGATACAGATTAACTGGCTTTGCCTTAGTTCCTATGGGAACAAATGCTTTGACTTAAGAACAGCCCTTCGACTTAAGAATGAAAAACAGCATATATGGATTAAATGGTTTTCAGTGCATTCATATGGGAAATGATGCTTCGATTTAAGAATGTTTCGACTTAAGAATGCAGTCCCAATACGGATTAAGTGCTTAAGTTGAGGTACCACTCTATATGGTTTATGAGCATCCTGCTTACTCCTTGTAATTAGGTATTTCATATCTTTGCTTATCTTGAATTATAGCTGCACAAGAATGTAGTGATGTTAATTGTGCTGGCAGAGCAAATTAACATTCTACAAGGCAATTCTAAAAAGGCAAACCAAACAGAAAGAAACTTCAAAGATGTTATGTGCCATCAAGTCACTTCTGATGAATGGTGACTATATGAGTTAATGACCTCCAGAATGTGCTATCATTGAATGTATCTAAGAGTGTTTGAGTTGTGAAGAATGTTGTTATGTCCTTGTCAAGTTGTTTCCAACTTATGGCAACCATACGAATAAGTGATCTCAAAAATCTGTTCTGAAAGTCCTGGTTGGCTAGCTACTTGTCAGCCATGCAGGGAGACTTGTCTTCACTCCTTCTGCCAGGAGTGGCTAGCCGACTGGTCACTCCAGAGTGATTGGAAGGAAAAGCAGGGCCAGCAGTGGCGGATGCATGAGTGGACGGTCTGGCACCAGGGGGCCGGACCCCATTAACTACGAATAGACCCATCTCTAAAAGTTGTTGTTGTTTAGTCGTTAAGTCTAAATCTAGTTCCTTAAATCTGTTCTTCACGTCCACTGTACATTCATAAGGGATTTTGTTTAGATTATACCTGACTAGCCCAGTGGTTTTTCCTATTTTATTCAGTTTAATCTTGAGATTTGCTATGAGACGCTGATGATCAGAGCCACAATCAGCTCCACGTCTTGTTTTTGCTGACTGTATAGAGCTTTTCCATCTTTGGCTGCAGAGAATATAATCAATTTGATTTTGGTATTGCCCATCTGGTGATGTCCATGTGTAGAGTTGCCTCTTTTGTTGTTGGAAAAGAGTGTTTGTGATGACCAGCTTGTTCTCTTGACAAAACTCTATTAGCCTTTGCCCTGCTTTGTTTTGAACTCCAAGGACAAACTTGCCTGTTGTTCCTTTTATCTCTTGACTCCCTACTTTAGCATTCCAGTCCCCTATAATGACAAGAACATCTTTCTTTGATGTCAGTTCTAGAAGGTGTTGTAGGTCTTCATAGAATTGGTCAATTTCAGTCTCTTCAGCATCATTGGTTGGTGCATAAACTTGGATTACTGTGATATTGAAAGTTCTGTCTTCGTATTGAAATCATTCTATCATTTTTGAGATTGTATCCCATTACAGCTTTTCCCACTCTTTTCTTGACTATGAGGGCTACTCCATTTCTTCTACAGGATTCTTGCCCACAATAGTAGATATGGTAATAGTCTGAATTGAATTCGCCCATTCCTGTCCATTTTAGTTGACTGCCGCCCAGGATGTCAATGTTGATTCTTGCCATCTCCTATTTGACCACATCCAGCTCACCAAGGTTCATAGATCTAACATTCCAGGTTCCTATGCAGTATTTTTGTTTGTAGCATTGGACTTTTCTTTCACTTCCAGGCACATCCGCAGCTGAGTGTCCTTTCAGCTTTGGACCAATCACTTCATTAGCTCTGGAGCTACTTGTACTTGTCCTCCGCTCTTCCTCAGTAGCATGTTGGACGCCTTCTGACCTGAGGGGCTCATCTTCCAGTGTCATATCTTTTAGCCTTTTGTTTCTGATCATGGGGCGTTCTTGGCAAAGATACTGGAGTGGCATTGCCATTTCCTACTCCAGGTGGATTGTGTTTAGTCGGAACTCTCCACTTTGGCCTGTCTGTCTTGGGTGTCCCTGCATGGCATAGCCCATAGGTTCTCTGAATTACTCAAGCCCCTTTGCCATGACAAGACAGCAATCCATGAAGGGGTCTCTAATAATAATCTAACAATGCTACGTATTAAGTAGCAGGAATTGGAAAAGTGCATGCGCACACACATGCACGCACATGCGCGAGCAAAATACAGCGCAGAAGATTTTCAGAATTAAATTTTGATTGCCAGGAAATGAAAAAGGCACTCTGGAATATAAGCAGATGGTATTTATCTACAGCGTACTGTTTATAACCCTTGAAAGAGGGCACCAACAGTCTTTATAGATTTCTTTTTGTTAGTCTGTGTTTATCTGGCTATGGAGCCAAAGGTTGAGAGTTTGATTCTTCAGTTTGCCTCCTGCGAGTAGAGTCAGCTTGTGCATCCCTAGGCAAGCTGCACAGTGCCAGGGCACTCCCAGAAGAAAGGAATGGTAAACCACCTCTGAGTATTGTTTGCTTCTGGAAAGGATCACCACAATTTAGAATTGACTTGACAGCACATGATTATATTTGTGTTGCAGTATTTATTTTTTATATTTTAATGTAGTCCTTGTTCCCTTGGTGGTAGAATTGATAAGATAAATGACAAATGAGATTACTCTCTAGAACCAGGAGTAACTAAATTGAAGCTGTCAAACTTTGAATATATCATGGGGAAGGCAAGACTCACTGGGATAGACAGTAATGCTGGAAAGAGTGGAAGGTAGCAGAAAAATGGGATAACTGAATGTAAGATAGATTGAGTCAATGAAGACATGGATCTTCATTGGCAAGACCTGAGTTAGGGCTGTTAACTATGAGAGCTTTGGAGATAATTAATTCATAGGTTTCCCATGAAGTTGGAAGTGACTTGCTGGCATGTAACAACAAAGTTAGTTTATTTTTCACTATAAGAATGGTTTTATTTGAGTCTCCTGTTTTGTTAACAAATGTTGCTTGCAGCATATGCAAACACAATGCTTACCTATTGCTTGCACATTTCACTTACAGTGGTGCCTCACACAACTAGCGAGGCACCACTGTATTTAGTATAGTAATGCGAAGTGCAATCAGCCCCTAGCAAAGAAACATATTGGCAGCTTTAGAGGCTGATAAGACTTTATATTCTGCCCAGGCTTTGAAAAACCCATGGCACATGGTGTCTTTGTTAACATTAAAGGAGATAGGGCTGCATAATCTCATATGCTCCAAAGTACTTGGGACTGTGACAAACCCAGACCTACTGGGATCTGCCACACAGTTTCACTAAGCCGCCACCAACCATTCCCTTTAAAAAGTCACACAGACCAGGGATGGATTTTTAAACAATAAAAAGAATAAGGTTTATTTAAATACACACAGGGAAATATAAAACAATCAGGTGAATAGATAAAGTAACGTGGCTTAGTTTCTCTCATACATTCACACAGTTTGGTTCACACAGAACCTTAACTTAAAGCACAGACCCTGAACCTATCAGTTCTGGCTAACCAACAGACACCTGAACCTATCAGGTTGGTACTCTGACACACAGTAGTACCCTGTCTGACACACAGACTCCCACAACAGCTTCTTCTTCCCAGCTGCTGCTTCTTCACCCAGAGTCTCCTTCTTTAGTGTGTGTTCCACCACACAGGCATCACATATTTATACAGTACAGCCCCTCCTCCTGATGTCCCGCCTTCCACTCCCCATAGGATGGAACTTTCCCTCCAAACCCATGACAGACAGGTAACATCAGTGCTGTATGTAACAGGGACCTCCTGAATTGTCACTGTTAACTTTGCTCTTAATGGGGATTTGCCCATATTAATACTACATGGAGGATGAACAAAATATCTCCTTCCTTTGCTGATATTTTTATGGCAGTGGAGATTTGCTGTAGTGCTTATAGCATCTAAGCATCTCTGAATGTTTCCATTTTAATCCAAGAAAGTTGTTTTAGTTCTAGGTTGGTGTCTGATGTTGGTAAAGGATTGGATCTGGTGAACAGATTGATGCTTAGTCATACAAGAGATGCTTCTGAACAGTTTGAAAGGCAAAGCAGGGAATATACATGGTGCCTCGCTAGACAGTTACCCCACATGACAGTTTTTTCGCTAGACATTGACTTTTTGTGATCGCTATAGCGATTCACAAAACAGTGATTCCTGTGGGGGAATTTCTCTGGACATTGTTTGGTCCCTGCCTCGCAAACCGATTTTTGCTAGATGACGATTTTGACAGCTCCCTCCGCGCTTGCAAAACAGGTGTTTTCGGGACCCAAGCTTTGCAAGACAGCGATTTAAACAGCTTATTGGCGGTTCGCAAAGTGGCTTTCCTATGGCCGATCTTCGCTAGATGACACCGATTCTTCCCCATTGGAATGCATTAAACAGATTTCAGTGCATTCCAATGGGGAAATGCTTTTTGCTAGACAATGCTTTCGCTAAACAGCGATTTCAGTGGAACGAATTATCATCGTCTAACGAGGCACCACTGTAGATACAATCTTAGATGAGTTGTTGTTCTCCTGAAAGGTTCTTTAGTTGGGAGTATTCCTGATTCAGTTTTAAACCAAGATCCTAAGTTTTGGTAGTACACATGCATAGTTACTGTTAACTTCACCAGCTGCACCCCTTTGTAGAAATCTTGAATTTGGCCCTAGTAGCACATGCTTTATTTCTTGGTCTGCTCTTGAAAAATGTTTGCATGATAATGTGTAAGTTTTATATTTGTGTAAGCTTCCTTGTGAGAGAGTCAGTATATTTGGAAAAATGGCACTAACATTTTTTTCAGTAATAATAAACATTGTTGAGGGTAAGTAGAGATCTGAATCTCCATTCAGAACTGAACAAAATTGCAGTACATTGTGCCTATTAATATGATTTGGTTGTCTAAATTGTGTTTTTTTCCTCCTAATTCTCAGATTTGGGGATGGATGATGAAGGGGATGATGATCCTGTTCCCCTTCCAAATGTTAATGCAGCTATATTAAAAAAGGTAACATGGTGAACAGTAAATCTTCTTTGACATATGCAAGATGAACTTTCAGTTTATTGTACAGTATAGACCTACAGAATCCTAGCACCAGACCAAGTTTAAGATAGGAAAACAGATGAACATGATTTGGCAAGAACTTCCTTTGGTTCTGCTCTGCTCAGCATAAAACACATATCTGCATTATTCTTAGTCTTAATTCCTTAGTCAGGTTAGGAATATATGCATATTTTTGGATTAAATTCATTTAAATACAGCAATATTTCTGTCAGTTATTCTTTTGGTCATTCTTTTTAGTCTTTTGTGCCCATTCCCTTACAATCCTTTACATTGGGACAGTAGCTGATAATTAAAAGTACCTATATGGCATCATAAGATTAGAACTGAGAAAACCGTTGACTAGTAAATGCATGAAATCTAGTTCATCTGCAGTCTGTACACTTGGAGCTTGTTCTTCTCAGGTGTTCTCCTTCTGCGAGGCTGGTATTAAAATAATTCTGTGCAGCTGATAGGGCAAACCTTGTCAGTTACATTTAAATGAGTAATTACATACACAAGTAGTTAAGATAAATGACTTGTATCCGACTGTTGGTGCTAAGTAGTAAATGCACAGAATGATCTCAGTCCTGACAGAACCTGTGCTCATCAGAACTTATCTGGCCAAAGACCTAAGCTAAACAAGAAATCTTCTAAAGGATCTTCAACAAGATATTTTACTCTGGTTTCTAAAGGTGATCCAGTGGTGCACTCATCATAAAGATGACCCACCTCCCCCTGAGGATGATGAGAACAAAGAGAAACGAACAGATGACATCCCTGTGTGGGACCAAGAATTTCTCAAAGTAGACCAAGGGACTCTTTTTGAACTAATCTTGGTAGGTTGGTTTTGTATATGCTATTTAAATGTCACTTACAGCTATACTGAACTTTATCACAATGTAACAGAGTGTTGCAAGGTATGTAACTTAGGTTACAGAAATGCATGGTGTTTAAAATAGTAACTACTGCAGTAGCATTTTATTCTAGGTTCTGGGAAGCAAAATATCCTTAGATCAAAAATGTAAATTTTCAAAGAATAGCTTTATTACTCTGGGAGTAGTAAAAGCATGCAAGTATTGATGAGCAAGCAGACCTACAGCTACACATCTGCTGTTGTAGGTGACCATGTTGAGTCTTTATTTCTGAATTCAAGAGTGAATGGAGTTGTGTCTGTGATAGCAGTGCATTTAACTGATGGACCTTTTTAAATTTTGGTTTGTTTCACTTTGGCCATTCCTTGGTTTCTCCAAACAGTGCCCTAGCAAAACTAGTTGACCACCATGGCATAAACCTAAAGTTTAGCGTACTTTAAAACAGTGGTTCTTAACCTTGGGTTACTCAGTTGTTTTTGGACTGCAACTCCCAGAAGCCTTCGCCACCAGCTGTGCTGGCTGGGGTTTCTGGGAGTTGCAGTTCAAAAACACCTGAGTAACCCAAGGTTAAGAGCCACTGCTTTAAAGTATCTATTCCACAATTCAGTAATTGTAAGTTGTTCTGAGAAGGCTCAATTCTGGTAGTCACAGATTCTTTGAGTATAAACTGAAGAAGACCATGCTTATAACTAAAAAATTATTTAGGCATTTTGAGTGTAAGAAAATAACTGAAATGAAAGATATAGGTTGCTGTTGTCTATAACTTAATGCTAATATAGTGCTTTTTGGTGGTAATGCGCCGGGTACTGGACTTTGTATCTTTCCTTTTCCTTAAAGGCTGCAAACTACTTAGACATCAAAGGCTTACTTGATGTGACATGCAAGACTGTTGCAAATATGATTAAAGGGAAGACACCAGAAGAAATCCGCAAAACCTTTAATATCAAGAATGACTTTACTGAAGAAGAAGAAGCCCAGGTATGTCAAACTGGTTCACTTAAAACTAGATCTGTGTTGCTCAGTCCTTCTCAAATGATGTTGCTTTATGTGATATTCTACTCACAGTTCTTTTAGCTTTTATAGTGGTTCTTAAGTTGTGTATAACTTTCTCAAAGTTAAAATCACAAGTTTGTTTGTTGTACCATGTAACTGAGAGGTGCTATGAATATCACCATAGGTTATGTGCATTATAAGGATGTTGGCCCTTGTTCAGTTACAGAAGTGTTTGTGCCACCAAGCATTAGTGTATATGCTTTATTTTGACACAAGTGTCAATGAATTTATTTGTGAAGTTGACTTGTGATAACATCCCGGAAAGAGTTTCATAAATAATTAACATTTTAGTCCTTTTTGGTTGTTTAGTCCTTGTGTGATTAGAGTCATGTGATGGGGAAAATGAGCCTGTGCTCATTTGCCTTACTATTAGCATCAGATACTATCACCAGGTCTTACCAATCTTCACCAGTCTAAAATAGAGAGATGATTCTGTTCTTCCTTGTTTTAGAACTCTGCAACCTGAGAATTTTAGATGGTTTTAGGAATGTATGGTGGTACGACTAGTTCAGGCCTTCTCCAGCAAATGCATGGTGATAGTACCATAATTGAGTAGAGGAGGCCAACCAGCTTCCCTCTGATATAATTTTAGACATATGAGAGCTGAATAAACAAGCCTGAAGACTTTTTCTGGTAGACCTAAAGATGTGAATGTTTTTTTTACTCTGGGGAAAAAGTAAATCACAACAGTAAATAGTTCCAGCATAGGCTAAGGTAGAGTACTGGATCCTGCCTGCTAGTTTAAGGCCAGTTAATGTTAAGACTGTAGCTGAGAATGCTTGGATTCAAATTGTTTTAGCTATACTGTAGAGTCACCTTGTGTCATGGACATAACCTTTTTTTAAAAAAAAAAACTTTTTCTGGTAGACCTAAAGATGTGAATGTTTTTTTTACTCTGGGGAAAAAGTAAATCACAACAGTAAATAGTTCCAGCATAGGCTAAGGTAAGTTACTGGATCCTGCCTGCTAGTTTAAGGCCAGTTAATGTTAAGACTGTAGCTGAGAATGCTTGGATTCAAATTGTTTTAGCTATACTGTAGAGTCACCTTGTGTCATGGACATAACCTTTTTTTAAAAAAAAAAAATTCTTTATTTTGCCTGTCCTCATAAAGGATATAAACTTGCTCATAGGTCTCCCTCTACATATGGTTGATATGGAAGAGCCTAATGCTGCCATCAAGTCCATCACAGAGGCTGAGTTCAGAGAAGGAGCTTAGGTTCTGCCAGCTATAGGTGTGGTCACTTAGCATATTAAAAGTTCTCCTAGCAGCTTTTAGCCTTTATACTGTTGTGGCTGTTAAGCCAGAAACCCAAGCCCAAATGACTGAACATACATACATTTGGAAATACAAATGCATCCTATTTCCTATGCTTAGGCTTGAATTTATTTATATTTATTTATTTATTGGACTTGTATACCGCCACATAGCGCTACAAGCACTCTCCGGGCGGTTTACAATTTAATTATACAGGCTACACATTGCCCCCCCAGCAAGCTGGGTACTCATTTTACCGACCTCGGAAGGATGGAAGGCTGAGTCAACCTTGAGCCGGCTACCTGGGATTTGAACCCCAGGTCGTGAGCACAGTATGAATGCCATGGATTGTGTAGCAAAAATGGCACCAGTAGATTTGGGGGAGCTGGACAGTATATATCCCACTTGTTTCAGGCTGTTAGGGCTAAATTCCATCTAAATGTCTACAAATTTGCATCTTATATTTATCCCCACTAGATGTTGTGTGCTATGTCTGGCAGGAAGAAGGAAGGGTGGGCACTGCTGCCCTCTGTTGTCATAAGCTACATTGTTTACCAGCAACCAGAGTTGCATTTTTAAAGAAACTAATTATTTGCTTTGGGACCTGTCACTTGAAGAAAGCTGCTGTCAGGACAAATTGAGATGGTCATGACTACTGATGCAGATGGAAGGAGTGTGTAGGATGCTAGAGACAATGTCTGGTTTCCCCCTCTCATTCCAATGTGTGTGCGTGTGTGGGGTAGATGAAGATCTCAGTCCTGTGCCACAGTTGTGGCCACATTTAAATTCTTTTAAATGCAATTGGGAACCTATTTCTTTGCCTTTCATCTTTTAGGCTAACCTGTGTTATTCATTGCAAGTCTTCATGGCCATGAGTACAATGCAGTGTAAGAGGATCTAAGCCTACATCAGATCTAAGCTGTTTTGGAAACTGAGCACTCTAGATGTAATCACCAAGGTTCTCTCTCTTTTTTAGGTACGTAAAGAGAACCAGTGGTGTGAAGAGAAATGAAGTCTTGTGCCTGATACCTAGCAACACTGTAAGGATCGTTCCAAATACCAGTTGCACTGCTCTGTTTATAATTGTTAATAGTAGACAAATGCAGCAGCAAATGAAGTTGTATTAGTAGGGTGTTGTTCCCCTTGCATGTGTAATGTTTGAATATAGATTTAAATCCTATGGTTCAATTTTTACCAATGTAATCTGATGTCCTTACTTTTCCTCCGCTCTGAATAAAACTGAACTAAATGTGGACTCTGTATGGCACTTAGCACTGCTAACTAGCTGTTCCATGGTTTTAAATGTATCATTGTAACACTAAAATATGCAGGATGTCAGAAATTGAGAAACCTCTGGCATTGTAAATAAAACCACTTGTAAAAGTTTTCTGAAACACAATTAATGAAGCCTGTTTTCATTCACAGAATACTGGCTTCTTAGAACTGCAAAATGTGTTGGAAAAATCTCTTGGAAGAATTGTTTAAATTTCTTCCATTCAGCATCTTTTTTTGTTGGTGACCCAGCTACCAACAGACCTTGTTAACTTCACTTGCTCAAGGTCAATTCTGATAGTGTAGATTTGCGCAAGCAGCAAAACCAGCTCAATTAAGCCCCTCTTACAGCCAGATAACAAAGATTATGCTCCTTTATGGAAATTGCAATTATGTGTTTATTCCCCCAAAGCCAACAGACTAAGTTTAGGATGTGATCAAAAGCAGACTAACGAAGTTAATATTTCTTGGACATTGAATATAGGTGCCTGCTACTAGGCAAATTATATTTTCCTAAAGATTTTTGAAATGCTATGTATTTCTGTGGAAGTCTTAGCCTGTATTGTTTTTCATGAACTCTTGAGTTGTCACTTTGCATACTCAGTGTGGTGTTGTGCTGTGTGATGGTTGTCTAAGAGACAACCGCTTGCAAATAGCTGAGTCACTTTTCCACTTTTGTAGGTGTAAGGAGGTGATACACAGTAAGCAGTGAAGTGTGTTCCATAGCTTGTATTGTGTTCCATTTTCTGTGTATGCACAATAGAGTAGAATAAAATCTTAATAAATACTCTGCACTTCAAGGATCAGTAGTGACCTTTGAGCATTTACTTCAGAATAAGATACTTGGGAGTTGAATGTAGTAGTTAAAATACATGGTGATGTGCATGTTTCAGGCCAACTTCACAGCTGTAAACCTGCAATACTCTAGACATACATTAATGATTGTCACATGGGGTTCAGACATAACAAGCATTGCCATTTTTAGAAAAGTGGTAAAAAAGAAATTTCTGATACTGGTATATGCAATGTTAAGAGGGTTTGTTTTGAAGAATATTTGATCTTAAATGCTATTGATGTAGTTTATAAAAATTGTTCCATTTTCAATACTAGTCTTATCAGTATACCTCTCCATTTCCAGGATTCTATTTGAATTCCACTTGCTTATTCATAGATCCAGGCATAGGATTAACAGTGTAGCATTCCACTGGTTCTAGTAATTGGCCTGGGGTTGATGTTGGGGAAGATTTTGCACTTGCTTTGTGAGTTTACTGCTCTGTTATGCAGATGGTCTTGGAAGGGAGAAGATCTTAGAGCACAGAAGTGCAGAAAAAGTTCTCTAATTAGAATTCCCATGACAGGTTTCACTTACACTCCCTGTCTTATTAGTAGGACTCCTGCCAAAGCTGCAGCACCTGTATAACCATATTTTCCTTTATAGTCTGATAAGGGCTGTTAATCACTCTGAGTTAGTGGCCAAAATTCTGTTGCATAGATTATGCTGGTGTAAAGGAGATGTCACCAGCAGGGGGAGATTGCCACTCCTGCTTCAGTCCTGGGATAGTCGCATACAGTTGGTTTCAGTGTATACAAGTTGTGCAAGCCTTCAGGTTTAAACAGGAACTCTTTATATACTAGCTGTTTGCTGCTGCCAATTACTCCTTTATGCTGGACTAATTTATGCGACAGTATTGTAGCTGGTTTCCTGTTGATGCCTTACCATAGTAAGCTGTGGCTCAGTGATCGCGTCCCATTTCTTTTCCATTCTCCCATTGCAGGTAAAGAATTCAATTCTTTACCTATTGCTTTTCATTTTCTTCCTCTCCTTGGGATCTAAAGATTTTAATGCCCAAGTCAGCAGAGGTACTAAAATGTTGCCATTTGTACGCTGGCAGTGTTGTCCTTAATCTCTAAAATACTCTGTCTTGAAAGGGAAGAACATTCCATTTAAAAGCTGACCATTCCACCATTTTCTGTTGCAGACAGATGGTCCTGCACTCTTTGATTTTGACTGTAAGGGCTGGAGTGGGTTAGAGGGCATCTAACTGCGCACTTGTGCTACACTGATACTTGGGATGATTATGGAGCATGAAAAATTACTTTGCCCCTTGGCTTGGTGAAGAATGCATATATGCTCTGTGATCGTTTAAGTAAAGAAGCACTGTGCTGCATGTTAAGTAGGATTCAACCAGTCTGCTGGCTGCTGAAAAAATCCTGATGATAAAAGGATGGTTTTTCCTGTCGTGATGTATGGAAGTGAGAGCTGGACCATAAAGAAAGCAGACCGCCAAAGAATTGATGCCTTTGAATTGTGGTGCTGGAGGAGGCTCTTGAGAATCCCCTGGATTGCAAGGAGAACAAACCTATCAGTTCTAAAGGAAATCAACCCTGAGTGCTCACTGGAAGGACAGCTCCTGAAGCTGAGGCTCCAGTACTTTGGCCATCTCATGAGAAGAAAAGAGTCCTTGGAAAACCCCTTGATGTTAGGAAGGTATGACGGCAAGAGGAGAAGGGGACGACAGAGGATGTGATGGCTGGACAGTGTCTGCGAAGCAACCAACATGAATTTGACACAACTCCGGGAGGCAGCGGAAGATAGGAGGGCCTGGCGTGCTCTGGTCCATGGGGTCACGAAGAGTCGGAAACGACTAAACACACAAAAGGATAGATAGGGCACAGTTCTGAATAGGGGAGAGATGAAGGGTTTGTATGCAATGTTTTTTATACACACATTTTAAAATCATTTTCTGTTCAAGGCAAGCAAGTAAATAATTTGAAATTTTGATGTAAATGTACAGAAATCCATGGAGACTCTGCTGAGTGGAGTGGAATGTGGCACAGAGGGCAGAAAATTGAGGAGGGATACCTTTTCTGAGTGGAGCTGAATAGGCTTGCTTGATTTTTCTGTGATTTACCATTTCCCTTCCTAGAGCCACTGTCCACTCCACTTCAGCAGATCCCAGATTGTTAACAGAGCATTGTTTAGGGAACTAACGGGGGTGGGGGAGAGGTAAGAGTGGGGAAAGTCAGTGTTAAGCTGCTCATTCCTGGAGCGAGCAATACATGCAGATCCAGCTCTTTGGGTTTCTGAGTTTAAGCATGACTGTGCTAGATGGTAGCCATAAATGTACACTAGATAAATACCATGTTTTAATTAAACTTTTCATTACTGTTTCTGGGGAAATGGTGTTGTACTTGGTGATCACATTCTTCATATTCTCCAGACTTTCCTTTCTGATCCTATAGTAGTTTTTCTTTATTCCTAGCCCCACATTCCACATCTAACTAGTGGCTGTAGTACTTCTGTAATGGTGTGGAAAAGAAATATAAACATAAGCGGCCAAATAACAGTACATTTTGTAGAATTAGAGTCTCCAGTTGCCCATTTTTAATAGACAGACTGGCAGATTACTTTTATTTATAAAGCCATAAACAAATTTTGAACATAAAAGCCAAAAAATAAAAGCACAAAATTAAAAAAAAAAGTGGTTGGTAATTGTTATAGTTTGACAGATGAAATACATATTTCCCTTGCTGTGTTACAGGCTTTTATGTAATTTGTTAAAGTGGTAGTTCTATGATTTGTACATTCTAACAGGTTTCAAGAAATCCAAAATGTAATTAAAGAACTGCACTTGCCAAATATGAATTTGAAAACTGAATAAAACATGAAGGGCAAAAGCTTTCATTTTATAAAAACAGATAAATGTATACAAAAGGTTTCATGCAGCATTTCTAAAGATCTACTTTTTGGTATTTAAGTGACATGTGTTTTGAGAGATAGTTATAAAAGCATGTTCACAGTTCATTATTTCATTAAATGAGTGCTGAAGTCCTAACTTTAAAAAATTACAGTTTTGCTTCCTAATTAACATTTTTGTTGTCAGTCACTTGTCAACACAGAAGTTGTCTTACGAGCACCATTCTTGTGGAACTTGCAATACACACCTACTAGTCCTTGCTGTGGGACATACATTGTATAACCATTGCATCTGGTGTTGGTGTCAGCTTGGAGTAAGGATATACTGCATAATTTCAGTGTTTTGAGCCAAAGGTTGGTAAAGTGAACATTTCTGGAGGGCAGGAGACATTCAGTGGCACTTCATTTAACAAAGGTTTTCAGAATGTTTTTACTTCAGTGCAGGTTCTATTGCACACCTGTTAGGTGGAAGTTGTGAGGATCACTTTTGCTTTCCATTCAAGTGATTAATGACCTGGAGTAATAGCTCCCCTTTCATGTTTTCTTCGCATTAACCATGGGGTTGCTTGAAATAAGAAACCTGGTATGTCCTTTCTCATCTTAATATAGTTCCCCAGAAGTTGAAACCTGACAGTCACATTAAACCAATTTATACATAGTTTATAATACTTGTGTGGGCTATCTTTTACCAGATAAAAGCTGAAAAAAGCATGATTTTAACTAATTGTGAAGAACGGTCAATTTTTTGAACACAAGTGCACTTCTTTAATCTTATACCCAGCTCATGCCCAAAACATTACATTTTGGAAGTATTTCTTCATCTGTCAAATTTTTGTCTGTTCTTTCATATAACGTTTTAAAATTTCTTACATGGCTGCTTTGTAGACTATTACAGAATGCTTTACTAACTATAGCCATGAAATGGGTCAGTTGTCTCATGAAAGAACTGCATTGACTACAGATGTACACTTTGCTACTGGATGCTTCCTATAGTCTTGTTTTATATAGTGATAGAATATCAGTTATCTGTGTACCTCAACATTTGTTTGCAAAGCTAAACTTTGGACATATTTTCCCTTAAGATGGGAAGGTGATCATTAAAACTGATATCACTGGAACAATCCCATTGGGTTATCTGCTGTGTTAAATGTCTTAATGTAAAACTGTAAATACCGTATTTTTCGCTCCATAAGACGCACCTTTCCATAAGACGCACCAATTTTTTAGGAGAAGAAAACAGGAAAATATAATCTGTTTTCTTCGCTCCATAAGACGCACAGACTTTCCACCCCCCTGTTTTGTGAGAAAAAAGTGCGTCTTATGGTGCGAAAAATACGGTATTTAAAACACTCACTTATTAAAATACTGTAGTATACAGATACGTCATTCCATAAATTCTCAGATTTTCTCTTATCTCATGCTATTTCCTCTCTTAAGCCTCACTATATTTTCTTGTAGAATACAGCCCATTTTAACTATCATTTTAATGGATCAAAGTACAGAGTTTCTACAGAAAAAGGTTGAGAAATGAACCTAGTGGTGCAGAATGTGAGTTGCACACTACATTTCTTACCTAAGTTTCCTGCTAAATGCGAGTTTTTCAAGTATTTATTGTTCAAGTAAGTATTAAATGGGTTGTAATGCAGATGCTACCTAGCTGTTGATCATACAGTTTCCCCTTTGGTAGTCTAATAAAAATATGTTGCAGCTTTTAAATGACAGTAGCTGTAGTATGCATTGAGCCATGTGCGCATGTGTATGTGTGCACAACAGGAGAAGGCATTGCCACTACAGGGGGAGAATAAAAATATTTTAGCCGCCTTCACAGATTAGAGGTGGTGGAGAGGGACAAAAGCTTTCACAAACATGTTTAAGAAAAGAAATCATGTGGTTTGTTTTGTACATAGTCAGCATTTCCTGGTTAAGTATCTATCTGTTCCATTTGTCTCTGAAAAAGTGGCAGTATATCAGGGTTGGAACAAATCTAGTATATTTCAATAGTATATATGAGAGCACAGACAAGTGCAAAACTCAGGTTGGCTGTTTTTAAGTTGTATGTTTTTTGCTTGCATGGTTATTCTGCAGCAATTCAAGACTGAGTAGGAACATTTTTGGAGTACTGTTGGAAAATCAAAAAAGAGAGAGATAGTGTGAGCACAAACAAGCTTTAACTTGGAATAGCTCCTATTCCAATCTGTAAAAAATAGTTTTGGCCTTTGTCCGTTTGCTCTAAAATAGCTGGATATTTTATTAGATGCTTTCAAATTTCTTTTACATTTTTTGCAGTAGTTACAATATGCTTAGTATATATTTTGTCTTTAACACTGTATGTGCTCTTCAAGGTACCCCTTGCATTAACTTTACAGATCAGTATGGATCTGTAGTGCAAGTCAAATGGGAGGGGATACAGATTGCTTTGGACTGAATTGAGGTACATTTAGAATTGTCCTGCAAGTTGGGTTGGGGGACCTTTACACAGGCCTATTTGAAAGGCCCGAATCTCGTACATCTTACATAAATATGACATTCGGTGTGTGTGTGTCTGTGTGTCTCCTACTAATACACAACATTGCATTGTTCATTGATTTCAGTCTCAGAATAAAAATCTGAAGTATTGGAAATATGTTTGCTAGAAAGATGAGAAACTCCTATGTCTGTGTATGTTGACAGTTTATGGAAATTACATATTACTCTTTTCTGTCATTTCATTTCAGTTCTACAAAATGTTGAGAAGTTTTAATAGTGCCAGGTTATATGAAAGTAGTTGAGAAGAAATGTCACAGGAGGAGAGAAATGCAATGGGAGCAATGTACCCTCTAATTTTCAGCCCCGTTGGGCAGGGCTCCACCTCTCTTGCGGCTTCACCCTGTGTTTGTGTGTGACACTGCCCCCCCCCCACTTGTGCAGGGTTCTTTCACAACCAGAAGCAAAGGGGTTGAATGCAATAGCTGTGTGGAGGAGGAAGGGAGCTGCAAGGAGGGAGGTGGAGTCACCTGTGCTCAACTTAGAGGGAACCTTAGATGGGAGGCACTGTCCTCATAGACTGCACAGCTTTAGTGAGGCCAGTGTTCATTTTCAGCTTTATTCGGTGCTTTGGAGATGAAGTGGCCGTTGGTGACGCAGGTTTATTTCTCTGCATTGACATCTGTATCACCGACAGCAGGGGTGGAAAATGAATGTGGCCCCTATGGCTATCCAGCACCCAGAGTATTTAAAAAATAATAATTTAGTTCGTGTAATCACCTCATGCTCACTAGAAGGTTTGGCGTGCAATTTTGCTATACTTTGAAGATCCCTCTGAACTCTCCCATCCTTTTTTAATTTTTTCCCCCCTTAATATTCTCTTGCGTAGCCACTCAAATCCACGAAGGGGTTTGTTCAGCTCCCAAGGATCTCTGGAAACTGGTCCTATAGCATGGGTCAAAAATGCAAAGCTTATAGGATGCAGGCACGCCTCCTCTTTTATTTCTGATCACTCAAATCCCCATTCAGCTAAAAGGAGAACTGCCATCTTGGAAGCTTCCTGGAGCAGCAGTTGTTTTACCTCTCCCTTGGGGGGGGGGGGCTGCAAGGTCATAAGACCAGCAGTTCGAATCCATGGAGTGAGCTCCTGTTGCTTGTCCCAGCTCCTGCCAACCTAGCAGTTCAAAAGTATGTAAATGCGAGTAAATAAGTACCACCACAGTGGGAAGATAACGGCCTTCCTGTCTAGTCACACTGGCCATGTGACCACGGAAACTGTCTATGGACAAACGCTGGCTCTATGGCTTGGAAACAGGGATGAGCACTGCCCCCTAGAGTCAGAGGCGACTGGGCAAGTTGTCAAGGGGAACCTTTACCTAAGGGGCATTAAAGAACTGAAGGTGGATTTATAATTATGTTAGGTTTAATTTTTTTTTGAGTGGGAGGGACCCAAGGGTGGAAAATCGTCCCCTGGACCCTCAGAGCTTGTTTACTGTTAGTTTATAGTATGGCTTGCTCAAATACATTGTCTTGTAGTTACTGGAAAAATGACACCCCCAACTTCAGTCCTTCTGCAATATGTATTATCTTAACTTTTCTCCAGTACCTCCGAACTGAAAAATACATGGGCTTTTCACTACACTGCTATCTCTAATTAATGTATTTGAGGGGCGGGTGAAACAGCTCTGGTGCTCAGCTGTCAAGTTTTACTGAGCATTGAGAATGCAGTGACAGCATGGGGAGTGCATAATCTTCAAACAGTACCTTTTTTTTTAAAGTAAAGGTATGGGAAGGTTTAGTAATTAATGGAATGTAACTAGGTTTAGGTGTTGCAGCTTCGTCAGAAATTACACCATATATTTACTCCTTTACTCTGCATAACAGCATTTGATCCTGAGTGTCTAAATTAGCAACATTAGAACCTAAGATTTCTTCTCATATCCTTATAATTGCCACAATAGGCTTGAAGATGTGTTCTGGAAAAGTCCTGAAAAGAAAGCCAGAATGTGTGCTGAGTAAGATTTCTAGTGATAAGAGTTTGTTGTTTCTCTTTCAGTGGTTTGTGTGACTCCTTGACCCCATGACCCCCAGCAGAATCACCCATTCACATTTTTGGTGAATTTTACATTCTTAAGACAAATTGTAGAATTTAATATTTTAACACAAAATATTGATGTTTCTGCCAGTAGATGTCTGTTATGTTTCGTACAAAAGGAATTCTTGACAAACATTCAAGTTGCCAGTGTATGCTTCCTTTATCACGGAACATTTTCACACTTTCACACTGCTGACTTGTCCAGCTGGTGTTACAGCTCTGAAGAACTTGAGATTTGTTCCCAAAGATGAGACTTAATAATGTATTCCTCTTTTTCTTATTAACCATTTAACATTTACCCTAGACATTTGTACGGGGGGGGGGGGTCACCTTCTAGGTTGTTTTGACATCCAGGTGTATTATCTGCAGAGTGACTGAAACTCAAAATCTCTGCAAGAAGGCAATTAACGTGTAGCATTCATAGCATCCCCTCACCTATGCATAAAAATCTGTGGGTGCTATTTTACTTTTAGTTGGTTTGGTAGAGGAAGCAATGCACTCAGCAACTGACCAGAATTAAGTTTTGAGTCTTCATTCCTACTTTTAGATGAGATTTCTGCTGTCCTTACCTAGATACAAATCACTTTTCAGTGTTCCAGTGCTTTCTGATTAGTGGTCCAACTTGCATCTGACATTGAACTTGCTGTCTGGAGGTGTGGTGGGGAGGCTTGGCTTGTTGGTCTCTAGGTCGCTTCTGTAGGCAGTGAAGTTTTCCTTCAAAGTGCCTGATGAGTTTGTGAGCCATCTTGGTCATTTCTGCATTAGCACTATGTTCCTATTGATAGCATGCTGTACCCTGAGGATTCGCTGGGTGCTAGAGATGCGTGAGGCACCACTGAGCATTTAGAAGGGAGTCCTGAGGCGCTAGTAGACATTTTGAGATGTGCAGTGACAGGAAAAGGATTAGGTTGCCTGGGGAGTGTCAAACTGGCAGGTGCAGGAAGCTTTTCTGAAGTTAAAGCAGAGGCTGTGCACTGGAGCACATCCAAAGGGGAAGAAGGGGAATCTATAGCACTTCCATCGGAAGAAACTGGGCTGGCACAGCGTCCTTCTCCTTGTAGGTACCGAATGCACTTCTTTTTCCTCCTAAGAACAGTGAAGAGAATTATCTGTAAATAAAGGGTGAATTTACAGGGTCATTTAAAAAATTAAAGCATGATAGAATTCAGTATAACTATGTTGAGCACAGTACATACATGAAGGAAACATGATTAAGTGGTTGTCAGCTTCTACAGCTTCAAGAAATATTTATTTTTGACAATTTCTACTTTTTAGCCTCTGGGTGGCAGTATTACTATAAAATCACTGCTTGTTTCAAGGTAAATCTGGAATTGGATTACAAATTTTTCTGTTGCATTGAGCCACTTGTAAAGAGAGATCTTTGAGTTCTATGTTCTTTGATGTATTAGTTAAGAAGAATGAGAAAAAACATGTTAAAAATGCAATTTTGCTTTTCATCCACAACCATAGTCTAGCAAAGAAAAAGGCAGTGTGGTATCTTCCTGATGTTTTGAATTACTGTCCTGTCAGTCATGGCTAGTAGTCAGATGTGATATGAGTTAATAGTTCAAAACATTTGGATGCCATTGTATTGTGTTCCCCTATCATCTGGAATATGCTATCTTGAGGTGCAGTGTGGTTCTATTTTTAGCAGTTACAGTGGTGCCCCGCATAGCGAGGTTAATCCGTTCCGGATTAACCCTCGCTATGTGAAATCGTCGCTAAACGGAACGTAAAAGCCCATTGGAACGCATTAAACGATGTTTAATGCGTTCCAGTGGGCCCTAAACTTACCGTTCAGCGAAGTTTCCTCCATAGCGGTAGCCATTTTCGCACCCTCGGTAAGCGAGGGGAGGGCGGAAAACGCTGTGGGCAGCCATTTTAGAACCGCCGAACAGCTGATCGCCCGACTCTGTGGGAGGCTTGGGGGGTCGGCGGCAAGAGGAGGAGAAGAGGGAAAGTGGGGGGGAGGATGCGCAAGCGCGCGGCTTCCCTCCCTTCGCCTGCCTCGCCGCCTGCCTTCCTCCCCGGGGGCGTCAGGAGAAGGACGGGGAGGAAGAGGGAAAGCAAGCGCCGTTTCCCTCCCTCCATCTGCCTGCCTGCCCGCCTGTGTTTCTCCCCACCTACAGCAGGAGAGGGAGGAGGAGGAAGAAGGAAAGCGGGGGGTGGCGGGTGAGCGAGCGAGCGTGCGCCGTTTCCCTCCCTCCATCTGCCTGCCTGCCTGCCTGTGTTTCTCCCCGCCAGCGGCAGGAGAGGGAGGAGGAGGAGGAGGAAGAGGGAAAGCGTTCCTCCCCGGCCAGCGCGGCCCCGCATCACTCTTGCGGCGGCTCCTTCCTGGCAACCATCTTCGGTAAGCGAGTTTTTTCCATAGGGACCGACGCTATGCCTCCGCATTAGCGATCCCGGGAAAGGGATCGCTATGCGGATTCGTCGTTATGCGAGGCACCACTGTACATAAGTTGGGATGCTGCTACATTTATCACCTTCCCAACCTGTAATCTTAGAAGTGATTACGCAAATAGTTATGAGGAGCACCACTGTGTAGCAAAGAGTCACATATGAGGTCATAGGCCTGAAGAAAATTACAGTGGCCAGCAATGTACACTTGTACACTGAAACTGTTATTTTCTGTAAGTAAATGAGTATCAAGAGGTGGTTTTCTTATTTGTTAAGTAAATAACTGCAGCACTTGAAGGCATCCTCCATACTCTGGATATTTCTGCCTACAGCAGTCTTTTTGAATTCAGCTGTATTACTTTAGCACAACTAAGAAGCCATTTAGTATCACTAGCTCTACCCACTGTGTGCTGTAGTCCCATTCCATGATTGCAGCAAGTTACAAGAGCTGCATCCGCACTATGGGGAATTAGGCATGTATTTTGCAAGAGCTTTAGAAGCATTTCGGAAAGCAGCTACAAGACGTGCTCCAGCACTTATGGCTAAAAAACATCTAACTTATTCAGTGATGGAAACATTAGCCTATGTTAATGGCATAAATATTTTTGGGTCTGTGTGTGTGGAAGCAGCTGGTAGTGGCGGGGGTGAAAGAAGCTCTCTGAAACTGTGGACAGTTTTTCTAATGTGTCCTGCTGGTTTTGGCACCCTTGAAGAACAGCCAGAAGCTCTCAGACTTGTAGTCTTCACTAAGGAAACAGCATGGAGTGCTTTGTTTGTTCCCATGTGGTGACAGAAGTATTTATTCTATTTGAATGAATAATTAAGGGTGGCGCAAGCATTAAAACTATCATAAAATGGAAGAAAACTAGAGGATCATAGTAATACCCATTTCCCTGAAAATAAGACCTAACCTGAAAATAATCCTTAGTAGGATTTTTCAGGATGCTCAAAATATAAACCCTACCTCCAAAACAAGGCCCAGTTAAGTGAAACCCAGACCTCCACCATTGTGCAGCGGCCAGAAGATGACATGACTATATTTGGACAAATGTAGATTGTTATAGGTGAAAAAAATTAAACATCCCCTGAAAAATAAGCCCAAATTCGTTTTTTGAAGCAAAAATTAATATAATACCTTATCTTATTTTTGGGGGGAAAGTGGTAGTAAGTAATAAATCCTTTTAAAATTCCAGGGTGCAAGGTAGTTATATTTAAAACAGAAAACTAACTGTGAGGGTGTTAGCTGGTTAACTGTGAGGTTGGGAGAATAATATCTGCTTGTCTTGTGTGAAGAAGTAAATTTTACTATCAGGTGAGTCTCTCATGGATGTGATTTCCTTTGAAAAACAACCTTTTCCCATGTGGTTATCTACCATATACAGTGGTGCCTCGCATTACAATGTTAATTTGTTCCAGCGAAATCGCTGTAGAACGACAACATCGTAAAGCGATTTTAAAAAGCTCATAGAAACGCATTAAAACCTGATTAATGCGTTCCTATGGGCTTGAAACTCACTGTCCAGCGAACATCCTCCATAGCGCAGCCATTTTCGCTGCCTGTGCAGCGAGGAATCCGTCCCAGAAAACAGCGGGTGGCCATTTTTTTTACCCGGTGGCCATTTTGAAACAGCTGATCAGCTGTGCAAAAATCTTCATTTTGCGATAATCCGTTAGCGAAGCAGGTAACCGATCATCGCAAAGTGAAAAAACCCCATAGGAAACATCATTTTGTGATCGCATTTGCGATTTCATCATTAAACGAAGCGCTCGTCTTGCGAGGCACCACTGTATCTGTTTGTGGTGATGCTCAGACTTGCTCATCAGTGTTGATGAGCTCAGAGCATGGGGTAAATACACAGGAGAAGAGGCAATACTTTGAAATGGTACAAAGCTATCCTGCAAGATCTGTAGGGTGCTGAATTTGGTGGACAATCCATTTTAATTTATTCCTCAGTTTTGCAGCTTCCAAATGAGCCATTCTGGAGTCAAAAGCTTGAGCAGTCACAAACCCATACATGTAATTCCTTTTGCATCAACTCAGTTGCTGCTCTAAACCTCAGTCATGATCAGGTTCTTGACCAGTTGTCACACAGGAGTTAATTGCCTGAGTCTGTCTTGATCTACAGTGGTCATTCAATTAATATCATTTGGGGATTTATAGGTAGAGTGAGCCGAGATCATGGTATGTTTTGCCTGTATAATGGAATTAGTACATTCATTGTTGTACCACTGCAGCCTACAATGTTAGGGATGTTGCATGGGCATGGGCTACAGTGACAGTAAACTGGTCCGAGATGTCCTGTTGTGAGTATTGAACAAAACTACTATCTGTGCTTGAGTAAGAGAAAAGTTTTACAATCTCCATCTGACACTGGGAAATACTTCATATTACTTTAGTGCTCTTTGTTTTTCTCTTTGGCAGCTGGAGGTTCCTAGTAAAGGTTCCCCTTGACAATTTGTCTGACTATAGGGGGCGGTGCTCATCCCAGTTTCCAAGCTGTAGGGCCAGCGTTTGTCCGAATACAGTTTCCATGGTCATGTGGCCAGCGCGACTAGACACGGAACGCCATTACCTTCCCACCGTGGTGGTCCCTATTTATCTACTTGCATTTTTACATGCTCTTGAGCTGCTAGGTTGGCAGGAGCTGGGACAAGCAATGGGCGCTCGCTCCATTGCATGGATTCGAACTGCTGGTCTTTTGACCTTGCAGCCCAGAGGCTTTGCGGCTTAACCTGTAGCACCGCCATATCACTACAATCTAACAAAAAAGTAAACAACTTTTTTTAAAAAGGCCAAAAATAACCAGTGACCCAGCATGGTCCAGAGTGAAGCTGGAGGCAAATATTCAGGCTCTAGCCCCTTGACATTTGTTATCCCACTCTATAGTGTAAGAACAGCTGTTCCCTTTACAGACCATCTCATTGCTTGCCACTGCTTACAGACAAGAGCCAATATGTATACATGGCATCACCTGTTTTGCTAGAAAGCAAAGCCTTATTTAAATGTTTTTAAAATGACTTTTCTGAACTTTTGAAGAAGGGGAAGAACACTACGGTTGCCCTCTTCCTTCATAGCTCTCCATGTGTAGAGAGTGACAGACTGAAGAAGATAATCTCCATATGATGGGGAAATATGATATTTCAGGATCTTCAACCACCACATATAACAAAAACTCTCCCATTTTGGGCATCTGTTCTTGTATCTGAGAAGTGGTGAAGGGAGATGGCATAGAATTGTAGGTTAATTCCATTTGGAACCCCTTATCAGGGCTTTAAAAACTGTAAGGTCTTTTGCTTTCTTGGTAGCTATATATAAAGCTCTAAATACTATAACAACTACACATTTTGTGTTTCTATTTTAGAAGGAGGAAGCATTAGAAGGCAACACTCAAAGCAGGCAGAACCCATGGAAAACCTAGGCAGGCTATAAAGATCAAGCCTAAGGAGAGCTATTAGTAGTGTTAGGATCAAGAGCAGCTGCTGAAATGATGCATGAACAATAAAAACCACACAGAAAGACATGACCTGTAAGCTAAAGAATAAGCCTAGAAAGCAAAGGTTTCAGATACACACCTGCATGGGCCGCACCAGTCCATTTGTTGGTTGAGGCCAAAGCGAGCTCTGCATTTCTTAGGAGAGGCAGGATCTGAACAAGAAGCATGCGGGCGGAGAATGGGCAAGGCAGAGGCACAAAACAGCAGCAAGAGCAGGAGGAAGAAGAAAAGATGCAACATCAGTGGAGCTGCTGGAGACAAAACTAAACAGGCCACCAAAATAACCAGTTCTTCAGCACCATATTTCTGCTGGCATTGGCATTTTGCCTAGAACAAAGTGTGTGTTAGGCAGATATCAAAATCTTTTCAACCAGCGGGGCCAGGAATGCAGCAGCTGAGACAATCTTAGGTTGCTATTACAAGCACAATAAGTTTTTGATCATTATTACTTTACTTTCATTTGGGTTGCTCTTCAGTCTCCCAATTGATTTTGTCTCTCAGACTTGAGAAAATCCTATCAAAAGCCACTGCCAATGTTAAGCTTGCTTTAAGAAATATTTGGCTTTAGTTATGTTTGAAAACAACCCATATGAAGAAGTACTTGTTGAAGGAGGGGAATTGCGGTGTATTCTAGAAGCTGCTGAACTTTTGATGTCTACATATTTTATAGAGAAATTGGTGACTGAGGATGCTAAATGTGCTACAAACACAATAAATGCATAAGGCAAGAGGAAGGGACTATATCATCTTTTCCTCTTAACTGATCTGTTGCTAATGTTACAGAAGAGCAGAGAGGAGATAAAATTGCAGAGCATGGCAAAGCTAGAAGAAATAGCTGTTACATCTCACGACATGAAACACATTAGAACTTATAACACAGATACCTGTTTGTATTGAAAATTGAGGTATTATTAGTGTGGACATGGATTACTGCAGTCATGTTAAACCATGGATTATAGCTATTGTTTGGCTACCTCAGATAATCCTCTAACAAAAATAAACAAAATGACAATGACTAGATAGTGTGCTGGATTTTGCACCAGTGGATTTACCTGAATTGGAGTCCTGCTGCTTTTCTCTTGTCCGCCGTTTCTTTTTCCCCTAGAATTAAAAGGGGAGAGGAAGGGGAGAAAGAACACAAATCATGACATGAACTTAGAAACAACCAGTTTATCTAGAGAATGATTCTAGTGAGGTAATTAGAAGTAGAGCTCCAGAGTCCCCATTTTCCCCAGTGGATTGTTGCATGTCCAGCCACTCCAGAACTAATTAGAAATTAGCATGCATGAGAGAGATGGATAACACTTTCTCACCCAGGGGTTATAACTTGGCCCAAAGGCTAAATCATTGATGGCCAATTTAACAATATATCTGTGTCTTAGTACTTTACTAAAAGGACTGCTGTGGGGACTGACATCCCAGTGCTTCCAACCTTAGAAGGACATCCCATAATTCAGTACTCTATTAAGCTTGGTGCTCAGCCTACAAGACCTTGAGATCAACTAGCAAGTCAGACATACATCTGGAAAGCAATGGTTTGTGTAATTTCAGAGACAAGAACCTAGAACCTCAAGAATATAAAGAAGTTACCACTTCAGTAAAAACCGGAATGTGTTAATGTAAAATTACACAGTGCCACATCACTTATCATTGATTATTCATTTGGTTATGTTGAGAATATTTTTCTTGTACAAAGAGACTGGTCTGCTAATAATTCATGATCATTTGCCACATTAGTGACTCATGGCCTTTTTGTTGTGACCAAGAGCAATGCCTGTTGAATGAAGATTGCAAATATCAATGGGCGATAAGCATACTGAGAGAGATGTGGTCTCTAACAACCTTAAAGGTTTTTTTTAGCTTACAGTGCAGATGCACTTTATTCATCATGCAGACCTATTCTGTCCCCACCTTTCTTCCCAGTAGTACTAGAGGGTTTGTTTCTCATGAGCAAGGCTGCTGCCCTACTGCAGATACAACGAAAAGAACCAGCCAGCAATATGGGCCATACTCCAGTACCCTAAAAAGTTCCTTATAATCAGAAATATCCTCTGTACACTTGCTCATATTGGTTAAAATCCTGTTCCTTAGTGTATCAAATTAAACTAAAGTATGCACATTGAATCAATGGAACTTACAAAAGAGTCACCAAATTCCCACTGATTAATGGGTCTACTTTAGTGTGACTTGCTAAGCTAAGCAGCAGGATTTCAGTCATTATTTAATAAACATACATTAGATTTTGTCCCCCTTTTGATTGAACTGACATGAAGCTTGGTCCTTTCTCATATTCACTTGCACAGAGATCTACTCAGAAACACAAAAGACCTAAATATGTTTTTATGCCTTGTAAAACAAAATATTTACTGAACTGTGGAAAGGTAACTCGGCCCTTGGCCCTAATGGCCCTCACCCTTCCTACATTTGGTCAAAGAACTGATAAGGGTCTACGTTGTGTGAAAAATGGCTGAAGTCTTTTCTGTAATTCAAAATGAATAACCGTGAAAGACCCTGGGCTTTGCACTGAACCAGTATTTCTATGAAGCAAGTATCTCAGAATGGCCCGTGAGGAATATGTGCGTGTGCTGTCACCACAGTGCAACATCCTAGACTGAGGTACACACGGGCAAAGTTTCATTTTTTGTATGGATGGGGACTGCCCTCCCAGAAAGATCATAAACGTATGTGGTGCTGAGGCACTGGTTGCATCTGTGGAGGCTACCTACAGCTGAAGGTTATAGATGTACTGAAACTCTTGCTTAATCCAGAGAGAGGTGGGTAAGGTGTGAGCTCATGGGCTGGAGACAAAATTACAAACTAAGAGAATGAAAATTTCAGAAGTAGCACATGGAGTAACTACAATTATAAAAATTACCTTTGGTGAAAAGTACTGTTTTCAGGTCAGGGAGTCTGTTGCCTGAACATCTCCCTAAGAATCCTACGGAAATGTACAGACCTCCAGGGAAAAATCAGAAGCCAGAGTTCATCATAGCTGGCATTTATCCCAAAAGTTCAGTATTCCCCAGAGGACTATTTTGCACCCTTGTACAATTTACTTCTTCTTAAGGTCCTTTAACTTTCATGTGGAATATTCAAGAAAATCTGTTTTTCTTCTTTTTATTGAACAGGAATATGCAAGGAGATATAAATGTGCTATATTGTCTTTTTATTAGTATCCAAAATGTAACTATAAAAACTTAATACTATGTTTTAGAAGATTAACTAGAAAAACGTAACAAACTAACTGGCAATATAAGTAAATACTTTTAACAAACTTTTAAAATGCTCTTAACAAAATTGATATGGTGCTTAAGAGTGAAATAATGAGGCATACTCTTAGGTTAACTCTGAATTAAGTCACATCTATGTAAATGTCTTACATAGCATTGCTCTATTAATCACATAGCTACACAGTGGTCCCCAACCTTGGGCCTCCAGATATTCTTGGACTTCAACTCCCAGAAATCCTGGCCAGCAGAGGTGGTGGTGAAGGCTCCTGGGAGTTGTAGTCCAAGAACATCTGGAGGCCCAGGGCTGGGGACCGCTAACATAGCAGTCTATGTCATTAATAGATTAAGCATAAGAAATATAAAAATCACATTAGCGTACAGTAAACAAAATCTTACCCCAGCCCCCAAGTAGATTTTCCCCCTCTAATGATGCTCTCCTAGAATCCTTTGCTTCTTGCCCTAGCTATCATTTCTGGCTGTTATTTATCCCCTTATCTCCCCATTATCAACTATCAGCATATCTCCCCATCATCAACTACCAGGAATCTTTTTTTTTCTGGACCTAGAGGAATCTTTTTTTTCTGGACCTAGAGGTACAAAGGCCTGATGCACCAATATTTTATCGAAGGAATTTCTGTTGTTTTTGCATCTTGCGTAACATTAAATGTCTGTAACTTAGAATCTGGCAAGGTGCCATTATGACAAGCAGTTATTTTGACTAAAGGAGCCTCTTAATGAAGTGGTTAAACTGCAGTACTGCAGCCAAGACTGTGCTCATAACCTTAGTTTAGTTCCAGGTAGCCAGCTCTGATTGGCTCAGCTTTCTATCCTTTCAAAGTCAGTAAATTGAGTAGCCAGCTCACTGGGGAGCAAAGTGTTCCTTGCATAATTACATTGTAAACTGCTCAGAAAGTGCTTTAAGTGCTATGGGGTGGTATATGACAGCACACTTTTTCCTTTTAAAAGGGTTAGAACCCAGTGGTCTGCACTGCCTGTAATTTAAATACAGTAGGTTGAAACTTCAAGGGTTTAGTAAAATAAAGAAGAGCAGTACCTGAAACACCATCTGTCATGTCAACACATTGCAAAAATTTATGTATTTCAATACACTTTCAGTTCGATCTTTCTCTGGGCTTTCCATGCTGAACTGTCAGCCATGAAAAGCATTTGTTTGTAAGGCAACTTTTATGCACAGTAACGTTGCTACTAGACTTGGCTGAAACAAATTATTTCACAGTGAATTTTAAAGCACATTATACATTTTCAGGATTGCATATTCTTTACCCCCTTAACTATTTTAACACTCTATACACATACAATTTTTATCATGACAATGTAAACAAAAAAACCAACATGCAATTTTCCTTGAATGAAGAATAATTTGAAACAAGCTATTACAGCTGAAGGTGTATGCCCCAAATCTGAAGTCAGGTTGGTTGGTTTGTATCTCTTAGACTAACATTTGTTATATCCTGTTCACCACTTTGGGAACAGGAATTGAAATTATTCCTTTAAAAGGTCATACATCTTGCAAGTTTGGGCATCCTATTACCAAGAGGATTTTACTCAGATTCTGAGTTCAACTTACTCTGCAGTAAATGTGTTTGAAGCTGCAGCCTTTGTTTAAATTCCTGAAAAGAGACTGTGATCTTGGACAAAACAAAAGCTGTTCCATTTTTGAGTTCAAACGGCATTTAAATGTGTTTGTCATTACGGAGACACAAAGGCCACTTCCTTGATGAAAGCAGGCAAAAATCAAACCAGATTGTCTTTCCCTACACTTCTTTCCATACAGCACTGATCATGTTTGCAGAAGGAGGCCTAGTAAGTGCCCAGCTGCCTGGCATCACAATTAGACAACAATGTTGGTGGTTGTTACAAACTTGCATGTGACACAAAACTGCATCTCTGTGTAAAGGAAAAACCATGTATGTGAGGACATTCTTACAAATGTCAATGTGTTTGTTGGTGGAAGTGCAAGCTTAATCTTAAACAGTGCAAACTTAATTTTAGGACTACGTGGTGACAGGGCACTGCCTACAAGCTTGGGCCTGCTTCTCAATCCATTATTGAAAACCAGGGCAAACAAGCACATGCCCCATCAGCATAATTTTGTTTTGATGCTTCTCTGTATCAAGAAGCCTGGTACATGTCAAAGGTCAGATTTTAACTTGCATGATGTGCAACCTCTTTGACCCAGGTTTTAAGGACAGCTCTACATATTCTGCTTCAACTGCCTCTTGGTGATCTTGGATGTGTGGTTCTTCTGGACAAATCAAATCCAGAGGGCACAATTGGCAGCATATGAGCTGCCTTTCCCTTTGGCAGTTTTTCTCCCCAACTCTTTATTGGCTTGTTCTCATCAACTGCAGGTTCATATGTGCAGCAAAAATAGGTTTGGAGCTGACCTGCACAGAGAAATTCATGGATAATAGGACAGTTGACTAGCCTCCTTCTCCTGAAACACCCTTGTTGTAGGTCATGCTATTCTATCAATGACTGACTCAGGAAACATAATGACGAGGTTCAAAGATGCAATGCTCAGGTGGTGCTTATAGCCTTGCATTAAGTACACAGGCTTAAGAAATGTGGTGGGTGCCTGACTGTCAGTATCAGGCAAGTTAGAAGACCAAAGCTTGGGAAGAAAATGTTCCATTTCCCATTTGGTGATCTAGAAATTCAGTCCAAAAAAGAATCTTTTCATGGTCTGGAGAAGACATATCAAAACTTTTGTTTCTCGGGTACCAGTGTTTGCCAGTCCAAGAAGGCTTCTTATCCCAGCTGCTTCAACAAGAGGGAAACATTAGTAGGCAAGAGGGCCCAATGCCAGCCTCCTTCCATTGGATCAATAGAACAATTATCCTAGAATCCTTGGCCACAATCCTGTTAAGCACCCTGAATAGAAAGTTCTGCCAAGGTAATAATGCACGATCATGCCATTTGCACAAGTGTCATTGTGCAACTAACACTGACATCTAGAAAACTCATCATCCAAAAGCCATCAGCAGTGCTTGCACAAGAAGCATGATCTTGTGTTAGCAACACTGGTGGGACTTTATGGTCTGCCATTGTTCGAAATAGGGCACTGGCTCTTATGCTTATGGTAGCTGTCATCCCCAGGGACAGGCTTAGCAATAGATAGAAAGGAATGTGATAGCAAGGATACATAAATACTGTGAAAGATAGTGGGTAGGTAGACCTATATATGCATTTCCAGTGCCAGGGATGCTGATGAACCCTCTGACAGCTTTTCCTTGTGCCTTCCTGATGGAGGCAGAAAACTGCAGAGGTTTATCTAGTTAATTTGTAAAATGTGAGGCTGGGAGAGAGTAGAATGTAGGAAGAAAAAAGGGTGATGAAAGCAGGCTACGATGCCACCAGCTGTCAATCATAAGCACACACAGTCTGCTATCTAAGAGCAAATCATAAGCAAAAGCCAAATGAAGACAACATTCTAGGGAAGGACAACTGTACCAATTTTACAAAACAGACACAACCATTTGTAACCCATGATCATTACCCATTGCTGGGGGCAAAAAACAGGCAGCAGCCAATGCCCCAGAACCTCTGTGGAAGTTTGCCACTATAGGGCACAGGATGGATCTCCACGTCTGATGCACCCGGGCAGTAGTGCTTGTATTATTTGTGCAACAGCTTACCAAAATCAGAAGACCCTGCCATTTCTTGTGCAACATGATAGTCTTTCATTTCTACTCCTCCATCTAATTAAAACCTACTGATCCCTGCAGCACTTCAGTCACAGTCATTTAGTTAGTGAGGGCCTACTGCTTGGGAGAGCCATGTACGTTTTCACTGAAATAGCTTCCTTTTATTTCTAAATGTTCATTTCCACCTATCCAAGGCCAATGTGAAATCCCTGGGTCACAGATGTCCCCCTGACTATTGGAGAGACCCTACAGTTCTAACTGCAATTCTTTTATAATGGGACAGAAATATATACAGTGGTGCCTCGCTTAACAATGTTAATTGGTTAAAAAAATGCTGCTAAGCGATTTTATCGCTAAGTGAAATGCGGTTTCCCATTGAAATGCATTGAAAACCGGATAATCCGTTCCAATAGGAACAAATTGCTGTCCTTAAGCGAAAATTGCCATAGGAAACATCGCTAAGTGAAACGCAGTTCCCCAACTGAAATGCATTGAAACCTATTCAATGCATCTCAATGGGGGGAAAAACACAACAACAAATTTAAAAAGAGTCAGAACAAAGTCAAATTTGGTTAACAAAGGGTTTATTAAGTGCACTTTACGATTTCAAACATTTTAAGCAGTAAACTTTAACTTTATAAATAACAGAAAAACATTTAAAAAACAGCAAACATGAGGCTGTTTCAACCATCGTTAAGCGAAACAGGGGACCCAAAATGTAATCGCTATGCGAAGCATGGTCCCAACCATTGCTAAGCAAAAATCGCTCATAGGGACCATCATTAAACGAAGCGTAAAAACGCTCAGAAAAAGTCATCGCTAAGCGATTTCGTCGTTAAACGAAGCAATCACTAAGCGAGGCACCACTGTATATGTAAAATGTGAGGCTGGGAGAGGTACTCAGGTACTCATGCTGATGTACTCATGTACCTATAAGTACATCAGCAAGTACACAGGAGCTCAACCCAGGCTCCCAAGGTCAATGTTAAGTAAGGTAGTGATACCCAGAAGTCACAATTCTCAAGTTACCGAGAATTCAAAATGGCTGCCCACTGTTTACTGTTCCTTCAGTGCCACATACAGAGGAGGATACCTGGAGAGCTGGTGCCACCATTTCTGACTGCCAAGGCTTCAAGGGCAATGACAACTTTTCAAATATCTAGTACTCTAAGAAGAGCTTTTATGGCTCTGTGGAATGGAGTGCCTGGCTGTGAGTTCAGGGGGCAGGAGTTTGAATCTCCCCTGTGCTTCCCATGAAACGGGCCAGACAAGATCACCTGGAGCATAAGTGGCTTAGGGGCTTAGGTATCCTACTACCTGCATGGCTGTGAGCAAGCTCCGTGGTCTCAGAGTGCCACAGAAGGATGGACAGATACACAACATCTGACTGTACATGGAAAACTTCTAGGAAGGTTGCCGTAATTTGGAACTGACTTGATGCCAAGTGTATCATTCCTAGTTATTACACTAGAAAGGAAACTGTTCGCATGGAATGGCCACCCACTTCCTCTGAAGAATATGTTATCCACTAGGAAAACCCACACACTGCCTATGGACTGTCCCACCAAATTGACAAATTCCACAGCCAATGAGCAATTCTGTGGCCATGGAAAAGCCCAGGGCTCCTGGAATTCTGCAGCCAACGCTAAGTTAGGTGGATGCATGAGTGGCAGATGGTTACAGGCTTTCACTGCCGTAATGCAGAAGGACATTTGCTGCAGAATTCGCTTACCCTTGCCGCAGAAACCGGCCCCGAAGTGCTGCTGAATTCCAGGGGCCCTGAGTTAAACTTTGTGTGATCACGGGATGAAGAGCCTGAAGAAGACTGAAGAGCAAAGGGTAAAAAAAAAAAGGTGTTAAAATAGAAGCTGTGAAGATCATGGGACAAAAAAAAGGCACCACATAAGTTCATGAGCACATCAGAATGTACGCAGGAAAAATAGCACTGGAGGATTTCATAGGATTTTTCATTCAATGGATTAATTCAGTTACTTGTGTTGCTAAAAGAATTATCTTTGAAGCCAACAGGCCTGCAGAATGGAAGCAAACTTAAGAGATGTCCTTTTCCCTGGGCATTTGCCTCTGGTCAATTTGGGAGTCAGGCTTGCATGTGAATGCGAAACATTGGGACCACTATGTGTCTGAAGGCCCTTTTAAACAGTGACTGGGTTGTGTGCAGGATCCTGTGTGGGTAACTCACTTTTGTGGGCTTGTGTCCCATCTGAATCAGCCCTTGACTCGGACTAAAAAAGCACACCGTCACAGAAATGTGGTTGATTAAATACAAATATATTTTTCTTCAAAATTATTAAATGAAACAATGTAAAATATAGTCAATGATCCTGGAGGCTACAACAAATAACTTGGTCCCTAAGAAATAAAAGTTCAGTTTTACCTATAGTACATTTTTGCCTATTTGCTATAGATCAGTTAACTCATTTCATGGTGCATGGTACCAGAAACCATGAAACTTGAAATGAAACGACATATTAAAATTGAATTGATCTGGTGCTTCAAAGACTTCTCACAATTCAGTTTTTCCAATAAAAATCAATTAAGTCTTCTCAGGTTCAGTAGGCCTACTACTTGTATCTATACAGATTCAGAAACAAATACTGTATTATAACCACTATTTGACATCTGCAACAGAGACCACTAATTATGATGGTTGCTTTCTAAATTTCATCCTTCGAAGGATGAACTTTTAAAAAAAAACCTGGAAAATTCTGAAGTCATCACTGAGCAGACGGTACATGTTACATAGAGAATTAAGGAAATAAACTTCTTTCAAAATAGAGCTGATATGCTTAGAGGAGCTGTGATAGTCTAGAATGTGGGGAAATTATTTCAATCAGAAACCATTCTTTCAAAACAAAAGAACTGAATTATTTTTACATCATGTATCTGTATTTTGTCAGTCTGATGAACAATCAGATCCCCAGATTCACTGATATACATAATGAAGCCACGGTTATTCCTCATGCTTGAAGAATCACAATGACTAGGATCCTGAGAGAAGTTAACTGAATGAAGTTCAGAGAAGGAACCCTGCCCTTCCTCTCCTCTGCTGCCATCGGTGGCTCCTCGAAAATCCAGATATTTGGAGTTGGTGAGGAGCTCCTCAGCATTGTGGAAATGAAGCACGGGGGTCTGTTACAGAAAAGAACGGATTGGGAACTTCATTCCTGTGAGCTCCCTTAAGGCTGCAATTTTATTTATTTATTTATTTATTGGACTTATATACCGCCCCATAGCGCTACAAGCACTCTCCGGGCGGTTTACAATTTTAATTATAAAGGCTACACATTGCCCCCCCAGCAAGCTGGGTACTCATTTTACCGACCTCGGAAGGATGGAAGGCTGAGTCAACCTTGAGCCGGCTACCTGGGATTTGAACCCCAGGTCGTGAGCACAGTTTTAGCTGCAGTACAGCGTTTTAACCACTGCGCCATGAGGCGCCAGGTACCAAGCCCCAGGTACCTGTGAGCAGCTACATATGGGATTGCACATAAAGAAAACAAAACTAACTTTTCTTAGGATATTGAGTAATTCTTCATCCAGCAGCAGCTCTTTATACTCTGTTCTCATACTCTTCCAAGGTAGAGTTGTAACCTTCAGGAGAGGTTTAACAGGAAGGTTAGTTTCATGGATTGGGAAGGAGAAGAAGCACCTTGCACCTTCAAAAGGCAACTTCTCCTAGATCCTAGCAAATTCCAGTGTGTTTTAATATGTGGTCTTGGGGCCAGTCCCTTATAAACAGGCCATTACAAATGTTCTGCATTTCCTCTAGCCCAAACTTGTCTTAATGACTCCAATTTTTCTTTAAGGTGACTTCTTCCGAAGCAGTTTTGCTCAGAGTTGTAGTCATGCTGTTAAAAGTTGTGTTCTTGTTCGCTTTGAAAGAAGTCTTGCTGAGTTACATGGAACTTAGCCCTCAGGTTGTTTTGTATCCCCTGTAACATGTAAATTAATCTATTGTCCAACTTCCCTATTGGACATTAACTTCTTTCTCTGTAAATTGGCTGCTAATAAACTTCCACTTACTTGGGGACTTAAATAATATTTTTTTAAGAGTCCAACCTAAGTAGATCTTCAAGGCAACAACCTTTCAGTCCTTAAAAGATCAACAGAAAAGTCAAGATGTAACTGACCATAGAGAGCTACAAGGATAGTCTCTGAGAACAGTAGCCAGGAAAACACAAGACCACCTCTTAATTAATTAATTAAGCCTTTCTTCCGATTCTCTAAATACAACTTAGGTTTGTGCTTTAGCATTCTTGCCCCCTCCCATTTTCCCCCCTGGATACAGCTCCTGGTCTGCTGTTTTCCTCAGCCATTAGTAAAGAAATGTGTTTCAATCCTTCAGTTTACATAAACAGCTCACAGATTTCCAGTCATGTCAATACCTGTTTGTTGTTCAAATAGTCCAAGCTTTCGATGGCAATATCCTGCGCCATCTTTGTCAGGGAAGACAAGATATCAGTTGGTAGAGGTATTATTGGCTAGACCCAGTCAGTTCTGAGATAGAATCATTATTGAGGATCTCTTGATAAAACTTGAGACACATTCCGTCAACAGAGAGTGCTTGCTGGAAGCCTTTGTTGTGTAAACTGGATAGACTTGACGGGTTGCCCTCATATAATACTGGCTAGTGTGGGGTACTAGCTCTTTAATGTTAATTTGCCCGAGTATGATCTGAATGTTTACCCAGATGGTTTTGATTGTACTTTGTGGTATTTAAGGTTAGCTTTGTTTTAGCTAATACCTTGCTTTCCCTGATGAAGATGGCACAGGATATTGCTATTGAAATCTTGGACTATTTAAACAATAAACATGTATTGACATGATTGGAAACCCATGAGCTGTTTATGCAAAACGTTTGTCGTGAAAGGCTGAGATCTCTAATCCTCCAGTTGTTTATCTAAAGCACTTCCCTTTGCTCTCAAATGAATTCTAGCTTAATTTTTCTTTAAGAAATCTGATCTGAGCTACCTACCTGTGGTGTTGCTGTTTTTGTCCTGCAAACTTTTAAATGTAATTCTTCACCATCTGAGAATAAATGGAAAGCTCCAGGCAGCAGGAATGACTTTGTGCCCTGCTTCACATCACAGAAGCTGACCTCCCTTCCAACTCCTAGTCCTCTTCCTCATCCACTTCTACCACCTCCTCCTTTCAGAGATGGGACTTAGCATTCACAGTGGGCAGGGTGAGAGATTCCTAAAGCAGCTGCTTCTAGGCTTCTGGCATATTGCAACAAGAGCATTTTGCCTGGGTATAGGCTGCTTCTATACATGTCAGGGGCTCCTCTGCCTATGTAGTAATCAGAAGATGGGGAGGGCATGCTGATAAACTACCCATACCTTGACAAAAGGGTGTTTTTGTGACTACCGTTTCCCCAACCTTTCTACCAGCACATGTCCTGGCTGGGAATGTAATCCAGAAAGGTGGTATCCTCCCCCCCCCCGGCCCCACACACCACATCACTAGCCAGGGATTGCTGGAATTGTAGTCCAAAACATTAACTTTTCTCCAAGCTCTGGAACTACCTTGTAGTGAACATGTCCAAACTGCTAACCTGGTTGCTCTGAGGCAAAGGTCTGTCTTTCCTATGCCTCTTGTGTGAAAAAGTTTCATGGGAAATGACAAGGTTTGAATCCAGAGGCCTTTGTGTCTAGACTGCGTGCTGAACTACCTAGCATTTGTGCACCACTGGGGAGATATGGAAGAGCTGCGCATAGCACTGGTCAGCAAAGTGAGATCCTCTCAATGCAAAATCAGGTTACTGGCCCATCTCAGCACCATCCTACCTATCTAACTAGTGGGACTTCTTTTCAGATACATTTCAACTCACAGGAAACCAGAACTGACCACCTTTCCTTATTTAGTTCTATAAATGATTCTGGTGAAACATGCCAAGGTGTAAACTCAGTTCCTCCAAATGTGTACTGCTTGAGCTTAACTTTGGGTCACCGCTGCGACTGTGAGTCCTTCCACAGCTGAAGGGATGGTAGAAGAAGACTGTCCTTCTGCTCTCTTCTCTTTTGTCAGTTGAAAGTGCCTGCCAGCTGGCTCCCCTTGCTAGAAATGGTCAAGCCATCCTGGGAAGCCAGGTTGCTGAGGAATGCATATTTACTGCTTATTAGCAGAGGTGTCCTCAAATGATGGCATTTCATCAGAGCAGTGTGCCTGAACAATCAGATTTACAATTTAAGCCAGTGTTTACAAAAAAATAGCTCATCTGAAAGAGATGGAGGTGAGAAAAACTCATGCTAGGACAATCAAATGTAGTTCTCAACTTAAACAAGCACTGCTTTTGACTACAAGCTATGTGAATTAATCATTTAGTTTGAGCCTGACCTTTCTTCTGGACTGAGGTAGGTAAAGGTAAAGGTTCCCCTTGACATTTTTTGTCCAGTCGTGTTCAACTCTAGGGGGCAGTGCTCATCCCCGTTTCCAAGCCATAGAGCCAGCGTTTTGTCCGAAGACAATCTTCCGTGGTCACATGGCCAGTGCGACTTAGACACGGAACGCTGTTACCTTCCCACCGAGGTGGTCCCTATTAATCTACTCGTATCTGCATGTTTTCGAACCGCTAGGGCGCTCACTCTGTCGCGTGGATTTGATCTTACGACTACTTGGTCTTCTGACTCTGCAGCACAGGCTTGTGCGGTTTAGCCGACAGCGCCACCACGTCCCTCTCTGGACTGAGAATGAATTAAAATTGCACACTGTAAAATCAGGTTGGGCAAAGTGAGGTCTTTTAGACTACAATTCCCACCAGCCCTAATTAGCTAATAGTAAATGGTTGAATTGTAGTCCAACAGCCTCTGAAAGGCCACACTGGACTGGAAAAAAAAGAAAAAAAGAAGAAGAAGACGTTAAAGGAAATCAGTACCATTCAATAGCTTGAGTTAGTCAACAGTGCATGGATATGAGCATGAGAGTTATTGTCAGCAGGTATGTGCAGTTGCTCATCTTGACTAAGAACAGGGCTGGCGCTGTGGGACACGGCTAATTATTTTGTGCCTTTTCCACCCTGCACGAACGAGATCAGGATGCACTATGGCCACAAAGGTGGTATCCAGTAAACACAAGATGTGAAATCAGTATGAATGGTGGGAAAATATGACACACTGCATCATCCCAAGAGGGGGGGACAAACTGGATGTTGCAATAGTAATATGGGTAGGTGGATGCATGATAACCCTAGCCAAAAGATAAAACCGACAGACTGCATTCTCCAGGGAGAATACTTCTAACAAGTTAATTTCCACCAATAATTAAGAATTCTAACATCAATATGGGTGTTACGTATATAGAAGATCAACACCTTAGTCTTATGGTAGACAGGGTTTTTTTTTTGGGAGATGGAAACCAGGAGCAGGGGGGGGTCCCCTCATTTTTCTTCATAGACGTTCAGATGTCTAGACAAGGAAAGTAGTTTCAGAATATAAAATAAGAGGAAAGCATGACAACTCTTAGAAACGGAAACACAATCAAAAGAGTTTTGTTGGAATAGGATTAATAACAGCAGGGTTATAGCAAAAAGCATAGACACCAGAGGAGAGTAAGACAATAAAGATGCAAAAGGTCGAAAGAACTAAGATGATCAAGTACAAAAATGGCTGGACTTAGAAGAAGAAATACAAATATCAAGGAGAAACATTGACAAAAAAGGGAATAAATGAAGAAAAAGTTTTAAAAAGTGAAGAAGGTGGGAAATCAACTAGGAAAGGCATGTCATAAGAAAGGAAAGAGAAGAAAAAGAAACAATGTATCTCCATAAAAATCTGTTGCATCAGTTCTCACTTTAAAACATTTTGTTTAGCTTATCAGAATAGCCACTGAACCACCATCTGCCTGTGTTTACCCCTTTTCAGTATTTTCCTGTACAGCCAATTTCAAAAAGCTCAGTCTAAAACAAACACTGGCATTGTTGCTTGACCAACTCTTTGTCTGAAGTTGGATTTTTCCCATGTGTCAACAGCATAAGGTATTGTGAGAAGGTGATGCCAGTGTCAGAGAGAACAGGGCAGAAGAGAAAAGCCACTAGCACCACCAAACATACAGAGGGTCTTATTCACATTGAACAGAACTTCCAGGATCACAGTTCTCTCTCAGCGTTGTTTGTTGCTTTATCAATATAATGGCAATAATGGACCTGAGAACATGTACATGATATTCCTATCAGACAAA